GGAAATATAAATATATGAATGGAAATAAACTGAATGGAGAACAGAGTCACAGCTGCACGTCGCGCTGTGGCTCTGGTGGGTTTTACTGTTGCCTTACAGCTAGAACGTCACTGTGTTGATTCCTTGTATTGTGGCCTGTGTTCCTACAGTCAGGAACAGGGTCTCTGTGTGAATGTCAGCGTGAATGAGGTGTGAATCCTTCCTTTGATCCTGATTGGTCCTCAGACGTCGTGGTTGTTGGTTTAACACCGTCGGACGTTAACGACCTTCATCTGTTACAACAGTAAAACAAACAAACTGTACGACTGTACCTGGAATCAAACCTTGGTAAAAACCAGTGGTAACGATCGGCCAGACTGCGCCCCCTATGTTGGAGCTCGTACACGAATCCCATGACGTTTTATTTTTCTGTGTTTTTTTTCCAGACGCTGCTGCTTCAGATTCCTCCCCCGTGACTCCCCCGCAGGAGCCCGGGTCAGCAGGGGGCGCTCCAACCTGCGCGGGGCGTGGCCGCGTGGCGCAGCTGATGAAGAACTTCACGCCGTGTCGTCTGAAGACAAAGCGGACAAGTGCGATGCCCGCTGCTGGGTGGAGAGACCTGGGGGGCGTGGACCCGGCGTGGAGCAGCAGAAATGCTGGAATGTGTTGAAAAATATTTTTATTCCGTTGCTGCAGCTTTAAAAAAAACAAAAAACTGAAGCAAATGAAGGACAGAAACTTCAAACATCCACAGGACTGAGCAGGAGCGGAGGCAGGCGTGGCCTTACAGCAGGAAGGTCAACGGTTCGATTCCTGAACATTCTGGGATGGACCTGAGTCACTGCAGGTGTCATGACTTCACACCACTAACCCTAACACATGAGGTGGAATCGAACCCTGAACCTTCCATCTGATCTGGCACTCCACTGCACCACATCACGGCCGTGACAAAGAACTCCAGTATTTGTACAGTATTTGTACTTCACTGCTGTCCCCGCCCCCCACTCCCCTGCCTGCCTCAGACTTTTGCACAGTGCTGTAGTACTGTAGTACTGTAGTATATATATATATATATATATATTTGTCAGGGAGTTGATGACATCACATGTATTTACACATATACCTGTTGTTCCTACTCTAAATCACCACTCCTTCACACTGCGTCCTGGTTACGCGGCGTTGCCATGGCGTCCAGTCGTGTAGTGACTGACGGCTCAGTGTGTTGTTGTTGTTGTTGTTGTTCATTATTGTTGTTGTTATTTTTGTCCTCCAGAACAGCACCAGGGTGGGGGG